TGTGTGTGTGTGTGTGTGTGTGTGTGTGTGTGTGTGTGAGGGAGGGGGCTGACCTATATGTCAAATACTTCATTGGTCCAGATGGTGCAAGAAGCTTTACAGATGTGTGCTGGCATAATCTGCTTTATTTGCTTGTCAGCCTAAACACAAGACTGCCAAGTCTTTTAAAAACCACGTTAGCAGCACATGTCCTTATCCTCTATGCTCTCTTCTGCTCATTTGCCCTCTCGATGCAAGTTGGATGAGAAGATTTGATGATCAGTTAGAAGTTTGGCCAGAAAAGTTCAAAAGACCCATTTTAAACTTTTCCCTGTTGTTGTTGTTGTTGTTTAACATGCAGGATGTTGCGTGTCGGCTCACGCTAACAGCTTCCACCTGTCTGGAGTCTTTATGCTAAGCCTTTTCTGCTCACTCAGTCCAGAGTTGAAAGACGGAGAGAGAAAAAAAAGACACATTTTTCCCCCAAAAGCGTTCCTTTCTTCCACTTGCGCATGCCTAATGTTCCCAAGCAGGCGTGTAAAAGCCCAGCAGAGCGAGCAGCTAAATCTCGGGGATGTTCTGTTTACCCCCCTCCCGGCCAAACAAGCATAAGTCTAAATAACAAATTGCTCCAAACTCTGCGGAGCGTGTTTGGATGCTGCCGGGGTTTATCCCGGCCCCCCGCGTCTCGTCCCTGACCTGATTCACTCCTGTCGGGACATTAAGATCAACTCAAAACTTATTTGTTCAGGATGGCTTTTTGCACGTAGGATCTCTGTGTACTGGGTTCTGTCACCAATATGTTTGTCTTTGTGTATTATTTTGTATTGTTCGATAGTTTGATCTGTTTTTTATTCTGTAAAGCACTTTGATCAGCTCCAGTTGTTGTAAAGTGCTATATGAATAAACATTGATTGATTGATTGATTAAGAATACAGCCCGGCAAAGTCAACCTTTGGGCCGGTTTTCATTTCTCTGCTCGGTTTAAAAAACAAAACAAAACAAAAACCCTTGTCAGTCGAGCACTAAGTGCTACATTTCCTTGGGGTGAGTTGGGCCTCACCCACGCAGAGACACTCCCTTACTGAGAGGTGACACTCCCCGTCTGACATGCCTGTGGGGGGGGGGTGCAGGACGGCATGTTCCCATCACTCACAGCATTTACTCATCCTTTGTTAGCGTAGTTTCAGCACTTTGTTATGAGTCAGACAAAAGTTTGACTTCAGAATAGTGTCACTTTGCTTCTTTTTTTGTTGTTTTTTTCTCTTTAAAGTTGGTTTAAAGCTGGAACATGCAGGGTGAGCGTGGAATGTCACACCAGTGTTTGAGCGCTGGGAAGTGTCCACGGCTGCTTTTTGGCAGCTCTGGCTGACACGCATTCCTGCTTTTACTGGACTGGATGTTTTTTTTTTTTTCTTAAAGAAGCCTCCCCGAGTCATGCACGGAGGCCGTTGCTCAACAGGCCGGTGGGAGGAGGCTGGTGGGAAATGTGTGGGTTCCTCCGGGTTTAGCCTCATCAGCATTGGGAGCGATAAGCAGAGGTGGTAACGTCAGGACAGGGTGCAGTGAGAGGGAAAGCAGGCGTCACTCATTAACCAGAGTGGAGCAAAGTCCGTTGTGGGGTACACAACAGCCTTTTCTCTGTTTATGGTCGCCCCTGAACACAGCAGGAGGGATCGGCCGATTCTATATGTAATGGAGCCAAGTTCTCCTGTAGTGTTCTCTATACCTTCCATTCAAAACATTTACATTTCAGCCAAAAGAAAATGTCTTATCCAAGTATAAAGAGATCTATTATTTATTTGGGTATTTAGAGCTTCTTTCTAAACAGAAGTGGTTGTGGGCTGAGTCCTAAGATAGGAGATGGTTGTCAGATAGTTCGGGAGATAAAATGGCCTCAGAGGTAACTTGGAAATTGGCAGGGTGTGTCCCAACATTGCAACAGTTCACTGAAACCGCTGCCGCGCCCAAGAAAACAAATGCAACACAAACACTGCCTCTGATTTGCAGAGAGAAGACTGTAGCCAGCCTCCCTTTTAACGCGAATGTCTTTTTAAGCTTGTTTTGAAAAGCTAAACTAAACTGTGTCTAACTTCTGGGTTTTTTTATTTTTTATTTAACAAGAAAATGCACCTTCGCATGTAGCTGTGAGGAAGCCCAGTCGTCGGCGGGCTGATGACTCAGTGCATGAAGGCAGCGTGCAGCTGCGAGTTCAGACAGTCCTCCGGGGCCCGGTCCCGCAGGATCTGGTGCCAGACTCGCTCCGGCGTCAAACCCGCCGAGCCGCTTCTCCCCGTAGCTGCGAACAGAGACGCACGGGCATGTTGGAACCTCACAGAGTATCAGGTTTAGCAGAAAACATGTTCTCAGAATGACACGGAGGGAGGGAGGGAAGGGGGGGACGCACACGGCTCCACAAAAATGCTCAACAATTAGTTTTTTTTCGACCAACGAATGGTCGCCGAGAGCAAAGAGGAACGGCTTTGACTCAGGAGGAATGTGTAATGAACACATTCTGCTGGATGTGTGTGCAAATACTAATGAAAAACAAAGCACACAAGCAAAAAAAAAGGGATGTTTTAAGGATAAAACTGCTCAGAGTTGGATGCAAACCTTCCTAAGGGCCTGAGAAAGGTGCTGGCTTTCATTGATTGTTCCGATTACGCGGCCTGTGTTTGCTAACTCCCTCTGAGATCAGCCCTGACTGCATGCCTGGGTCCGCCCCTCTGAGCACAGGTACAGGTGGGAACAGGAGCGTTTATGGCTCACTTTGTGCCAACGCAGCAGCCTGACAGCGTTCTTTTAGTCTCAACTTGTTTTTACGAGCAATAAAGATGGAGGACAAAAGTACACGCTCCTGCACGCTGAACCACTTTAACCGTCTGTCACGTCCATGATGGGAGTCTGTCTCTCCCTTTGTCGGCCGGGGCTTTTGTGGGCGCGTCATACCTCGGCTGCGTGGTCCACACGGGCACAATGGGCCCCGGAAAAAAGAATTCACCAGCAGCCAAACATCTGAAAACACTTGTGAGCCGCACAGTGGAGGCATTGTAGCGTCAGTCATATGTCACACGAAGTGGCAGGCGGCTATTATGGATGCAGATCTGCTTTGTGATTCAGAGGGAATTCTTGTGGCGAATGACATCCAGAGCCGAGGCAAAAAACAGCCAGGCACGAATCTGCCAGGCAGATGTTTTGTGTTCGAGCCCGTGAATGGGGATGTCACTCACACAAACAAGAAACCTGATAAAAAAACACAAGCGTTGGGTTTGATTGCGCACGCACGAGTGAGTGATATCAAGTTGCCGTGGGTTGTTTTCCTCTCCCGTCGGCACTTTTGTCTGAGAAAGGCCCGGTCCCACTTTTGGATTGCACACGGTTGCCAAACGTGGTGATTTTTATCAAGCAAACGTGAGATCAGAGGTGCTCCAACATGTGGACGCACCACCACAAACGTCCTCCACGAGGCCATAAACCCAAAGGCTACGCAGATGTTATCAAATCTGAAATCCAGCCACAGATATTTTGTTTTAGAGGGTTTTTTTGTGTGTTTTTGTGTGACTCCTGTTCTCACCCACTGGAATCCAAACCCACCGAGCCCCAGGTTGAAATACACTGCCGTCCTCCGTGTTGTCGTTTTCAGGTCAGGGTGCGTGGCTGCTGGGTGGGTGGGGGGGGGGTGACTGACGGGCAGAAAAACAAAGTGACAGGGTCGTGTGAGGACGGCACTCACGCAAAGATGGACGCCTCGTCAGAGGCATTTTTTAGTATTCGCAGCGGGAGGAAAACCTAACCTCATCTCTCTCTGTTTGCTGCAGGTTCGCTTTGCTGTTGATTTGAAAACGAGGGACAAGCATGGAGATGCAAAGTAAGTCGTTCAGCTCTGTTGTCCTCCATTTCCCACTCATCCTGTTTCAGTTGGATTTTGTCTTTTAGACATTCACTTAAGTCATTGTCAGTGACCAGTCTCACTTTTTTTAAATGTAAATTTATTTCCTGCTTTAGACTTTAAATGCAGAGGAAAATCTCAAATATTTGAGAAATATTAAGCTTTATTCCAGCTATTCTACAGAGAACTAGCTTAGTGAGTTCATAAAACTTATGCATTTTGGGACGATTTATGTCACTTTAAGCTTCTCAAAAATAAAAAAAATATTTGCAACCAACTTCTCGACTTCTATTGGGGATTTATTTTTGGCAACAACCGAACCACAAAAAGTAAACTAATGAAAGTGTCAGAGTTGGATTGTTTAATAGAAAATAGATCACATATAGTAACAGTTTCTGAAAATTTTAAAACAGATAAAAGTGGGATACATATTCTAAAAAAAATAAATGTAAAGAAACAGACATTTCATGTTAAATTTTGTATAAAATCTTTACTTACCCAGAGCAAACAATATGTGGACTTTCTTGATTTCATATCAGCTTGTTTTCACCCTTTTCCAAAAAATGGCTTCAAAACAGGGTGTCGAGCACTTTGATCATGACCTTTCCAACTTCCAACTATTGTTTTCTTGGTTCATTTTGAGGCCACTTCCGCAATACCAGCGACTCTAAAGGTTTCATCTATTAAAAAAAAAGCTCTTTTATTTTTGTGGAACTCATTCAAAGGGTGTAAAAGTGTTGGGCTGAACTCCCCGACTGGCCTTTGAGTGTTGACTTTATCTCCCCGGCTGGCAGTGGGTGATTTTGACAGCGGCTCGGTGAAGGTGGCCGAGTGGCAGCAGACCATGTACGGACTGGACTCCGGCATCCAGTCCGGGGCCAACACCTACAGGGAGGACGAGGACTACAGCACCACCAAGCACTACACGGTGACCACCACCGTCACATCCGACCACCCCGGTAAGAGCGAGCTGCCCCTCACAGGTGTAACCCACACGAACCGTCACCTGCATTAGAATAGTTAAAGGGGACATATTATGCAAAACCAAGTTTTTAATCATTTGATTATGTACATTTGGGACTGTGGAGGGCCTATCAGCAGGCAAAGTGTGAAAAAAATGACTCATATTTTTGTGGGCTTCCTCAGTCTGAATCCAGGAGATAAATCAGGAGGTTTCAGGAGTGGGTAGTTTCTGACGTCATTAGCTCTAGCTCATTATAATATTCCAGCCTTTCACCTGCATGTTGCCCCCCCACCTCAGCTTACTCCGCCCATCTGTGGCAGACGCCGTGGTAGCATGGTAGCGTTAGCATGGTAGCGTTAGCATGGTAGCGTTAGCATAGTAGCGTTAGCGTGCCGACGTGGGCACACCTCCCGGAAGAAGTGGGTGGATTGCCTGTGTCTCATTTGCATTTAAAGAGACAGGCACTCCAAAGCGAGCGCTCTGAACGGGGCTGTTTTGGCAGGGGGACTGAACTGCTATTGGGCTTCATCCTTATGGGATTTTGACCAAAGCTTGTCACAGACATTACATTAGGACACCAGGGAACTAGTTTAACTTTGTTGAAATAGGGTATAATATGTCTCCTTTAAAGGGTCTTTGAGTGGTGGAAGTATGAGACGGGAGAGAAGAGGGGCCTCGATCCAGTAGTATTTATTTCCCTCTGTAACAACAGACAGGGCAGATAAAGAGGCCCACTGAAAGGGGTCTAATGGATGGCATTCCCCTTCCCAATCTTTAAAGAGTTAGACACCAGCAACTACATAGGCTACTGTTTACAGTGTGGAACTAAAAAAATCAAGGCACTTAAATCGTATAGTTTACAAATTTAAAACCAAAATAAAATAAAATGCACATATAAGAAATACTACACAGATCTTTATATATATATTAACATACCTGTAACAACAGACAGGGCAGATAATAAGGCACACTGGAGGGGTTGAATGGATGACATTCCTGTGACGCAATGGGCTCGTTAGCACCTTTTAACTTCATAACGGTCGCAGCATTAATGACGCTAATTTGCATATTTCCAGCGAACTTTACAACGAAAATAACACCACAAGCGTAACAAAATATGTTCCCATCAGAAACCAGTAAAATAACAGAAACAATATAACACATGAACAACATTCAACAATTTGTTAATACTTCTTAGAGTTCCAGTGTGCACCACCAATTATCGCCCCAAGTACTATTCACATTATGGCTCACATATTTTCTGAAGTTCACACAGAGAAAAAGAAAAACTGTTTATTCTTAACACTATTACAGAGGCACTCGGCTATAATAGGATGTAATTACACTCCCGCGTCACCTCTCATCATCTTCTCGCCTCCTAACAGACTTGGATGCCCAGTACTCGATGACCAGAGCCCAGCGGGTGCGAGCCGCCATGTTCCCGGAGACGCTGGAGGGGGGAACCACCATCCTGTCCACTCAGACCGACCAGGGCCAGATGACCAACGTCCAGCGGCTGGCCGAGCCCTCGCAGATGCTGAAGACCGCCATCATCCACCTGATCAACTACCAGGACGACGCCGATCTGGCCACGCGGGCCGTGCCCGAGCTCACCAAGCTGCTCAACGACGAGGACCAGGTGAGGAAAACCAGTCCGCCCACTGTAGTGCTCAGCCTGGTTAGCCAGTATAAGCTAGCTTTTTTTGGCTTTTTATTTAAGCTTTTCCTCTATTTTAAGTCTGTTTTTGTTTTTTAATTCGTTGCTCAAAACCTTTTTTAAGCTTTGAGACATTTGTTTGGCAGCAGCCTGCATCATGGTGAAAACCAACAATAACAATAATGAGTCAAATCCCCACAGGCATTATAAAAGCTATGATTTATTTACGATTACACAACGCATCAGAGAAACAGTTGATTCTCACCGACAGAGAAAAATATGCCCCATCCTAGAAATAAAACGCTTTGTCCAAATCTGGAAAAAGGCCCATCCATCACGTCTCTGCGGCTGTCTCTTTGGTTGGGCCTCAGGTGTTCAATCCCCTGATTTTTCAGTGACTATATGGGGTCTGTCTGCCTCTGTGCTCTGCCATTTAATATTTCATAAGTTAAGAGCAAGCACTGATGTCTGCTCAGACCTGAACAGGAAGAAAGAACAAAAGAGCTGCGATCATATTTAGAGGAACCAGACCGAATGTGAGCTGTTGCTCTCTGGACCCATCTGGAAACCTCTTAAGAGTTTCATGGGCAGTCTGGACGGTTCACCATCACTTATGGAGGACCACAGCTTTTCTAACTGTCAGAGTTCATCTGATCTCGACTTCCTGAGAATAAACAAGGTTACTCAAGTCTTTAAGTATCCTGTTACCAGATCTTTTTGCCACCAATGATCAATTCTTATAAACAGAGAGATCTCTTGATATCTGAGCTCTCTCAAAGATCTCTTTTCTTTTATAAATTGAATCATGATTGTCCCATACTGTCCACTATAGAGTCCCACAGGGGTCTGTCCACGGCCCACTCTAGTTTTCACAGTTTTTCAGCTGCGTTTGGTCAAATCGTACTGTTTTGGTTTGAGTTCTGCTTTTACAGTCATGAAAAATATGCCAATAGTTGCAAAGTCACTTTAACATCAGTCACATTAATCTGACAAATTTTAAAGTGTTATGGAGGGGAACTTAAAAAGTTCAGCATGTCCAAATGGGAGTGAATCAAGCAAACCTAAAGCTCTCCCGTTCTTCTTTTTAAAGGTGGTGGTGAGCAAGGCGGCGCAGATCGTCAACCAGCTGACGCGCAAAGAGGCGTCCCGCCACGCGCTGATGCAGTCGCCCCAGATGGTGGCGGCGGTTGTCCGGGTGATGCAGAACACCAGCGACATGGAGACGGCGCGGGCCACAGCCAGCATCCTCCACAACCTGTCCCACCAGAGGGAGGGGCTGCTCGCCATCTTCAAGTCGGGAGGGATCCCCGCTCTCGTTCGCATGCTCAGGTAAAAACGGACGATCTGCTGGAAACGGGCGCCGCTTAGATCATGAGCTCATCATCGTCACAGGGAAATATTTTTAGAAAGCAGTTTGGCATCTAAGTGTGGCGTTTATACAGTATGTGGTATAAGAGCAGCTATGCACAAATAAGGGCAGTACAGAGAGGTGGGAATGAATTAGATAAATATATTATGGCCATATACAGATGTATTATGAATATATATAAATAGATATGAATGTCAGTACAGTGGTAGAAAAACACTTAATAAAAAAGGGGCTTATGTCAGAGTATTCGATGAATAATACACAAAAACAAGATGGGTGTGCTCCATAAAGGACATGTTTCCCTTAAAAAGCAGAGTTAGTTTAGAAAGGCGGTTGAAGTTTGCATCAGATCCTGGCTGAAAGACTGTCTCTGCTGTGCAGATATTTTTAGTTCAGCTGCTTTTTTTGGTCCATTTCAGTGTTCAATGACTATAACAAAGAGAATGAGCCAGGCGTGGTCTGAAATGAAAAGCCAGTTTTAAAGGGAAAATGACACAAGTCGGATAGAAAAGGATTCAAATCAGACAAATGGAAAATATGCCGCTGTGAAGATGGACAGTTTAACCCCCCCCCCCGCTCGTCTTCCTCAGCTCCCCCATTGAGTCGGTGCTCTTCTACGCCATCACCACCATCCACAACCTGCTGCTGCACCAGGAGGGAGCCAAGATGGCCGTGCGCCTGGCCGACGGGGTCCACAAGATGGTGCCCCTGCTGAAGAAGACCAACCCCAAATTCCTGGCCATCACCACAGACTGCATGCAGCTGCTGGCCTACAACAACCAGGAGAGCAAGGTTAGCTTTATTTGCTCGTGCCCGCGGCCGATCCGATGTTCAGGACGGATACGGTAGCGTGCGACAGGAGAAACTGATCTGCTCGTGCGTGCCGGGTTCAGTTCTGGGTGTGGCGTGTGAACAGGGCTGCTCGGGCAGGTGAAAGGGTGGGGCCACTTATCCAACAATGTCAGAGGATTAAGGCTGTTCACCTGCTGCGGAGCCGTACACTAAAAGGAGTTTTTTTTAACCCTATAATGACAAATGTATCATATTTGATACGTACGGTTTCTGAAATGTTTTGCGTCTGACACGTTTTGCATGATTTATTGGTAAAAACTTTGCTCAAAATCCTATATATCTGATCACAGGGGGCAGAAGACTACACAAAAAATACACAAAAAATAATCTTGACTTATCGCATAGTAATACATTTTTAATATTAAACATTTATTTTAGTTTGGCCTTTTAACAAAATATGTAAAAAGGCCAAATAAAGACCTAAAACAAAAAAAAAGTAATTTTCTGTTTTGTTTTATTCTTGGATCAGGCTTTAAAGGGTTAAGTGGGCAGTTTTGAAAAGCGGCGCGTTGTTTTTTCTTTTGTTATTTTTTTTTTATTTACACCATGTCGTGTTTAGCATTATGGCAACAGAATTGTAATCTGAGTGCCGTGCTGTGCCCAACACTTTTACTTTGCCAAGGGAGGCCTTGTTACATAAGTAATATGGTCAATGCCAAACATGACCGGGGGACAGGAAAGGAGGAAAAAAAAGAGATCCCTAAGACAGGAAGAGAGGAGAAAAAAAAAAAAGAAAGAGGGACAACAAAACCATCCATCCAGCTGCTGTATCTGTAAAAGATGTTGTTGTGTTTTTTCTCCTCCTCCACAGCTCATCATCCTCAACAACGGGGGTGGAGAGGGTCTGGTCCACATCATGAGGAACTACAACTACGAGAAGCTGCTGTGGACGACGAGCCGCGTGCTCAAAGTGCTCTCCGTGTGCCCCAGCAACAAACCCGCCATTGTGGAGGCCGGTATGTGCAGAATGTTTTCTCCCGAGGCCGCGCGCACCTGTGTGCTCAGGCCGCTCTGACACCCGATCTGTGGCCGTTAACTCATTGGCTGCCAAAGATGTCTATGTTTTTTATGTTTTTCAATGCGAGTGGCTTGGGGACGATCTGCTAAAGCTTGTCCGTAAATATCAGGCTTCTAGACAGAGTATGTAGTAACAAATTGACCCTCTAGGGGGCAGTGCCACTTTTGATGGGAGATGAGCATAGACTGTAGGCAAATAAGAAAAAGGGAACGGTTCTATGAGAGAACATGTCGCCGGTGAGACGCAAGTCCAGGAAGAACGGAATAAGGTAGAAACACATTTTTTTTCCTGATGAAAGAAGAGAGTCTACTCTTTCTTTTGGTGTGTTCGGTGTTTACATAGTCATAGCACAAACTATTCTGTGGCTCTTGAAAAATCAGTCAAAATGCTCAAAAAACTCTGGCAGTATGGGACTCTGTTCTGAAAATGGCTGGCAGTCAATGAGTTAATGAGAGGCCGCTGAGAGCCCAGCGACTGACCCCTTCTGTCCCTTTAGGTGGGATGCAGGCTCTGGGGAAACACCTGACCGGCTCCAGCCAGCGCCTGACGCAGAACTGCCTGTGGACCCTCAGGAACCTGTCCGACGCCGCCACCAAACAGGTCAGAACTCACTCCGGACCAGGCTGGTCCCGATCCGATATCTGGATCGGATCGGCCGATATTTTTTGCCGTATTTGCAAAAAAAGGCGTATCGGCCAGCATCCAGACTCCTGATCCAGTTTTCCGATCCCACACGAGCATTAGCATCTCCTAACCCACAGGTCTGTGTCCTGTTATTATCAGAGTAAATCCCTGTTCAACACTCCACTCTTCACAGCGTACTATGGCTGTGTCATGAGTATAACAGCATTTGTTTCTTAAGAGATAATCAGATCTGTCTAGAATCTGAGTTTATATGCTGTAAGAGGCAAACAACAACAAAAAAATCTACCGACAAAACTGTTTTTATGTTTTAAAGGCCCGAAAAGATAATAGAAAAGATGAGATCATATATATCTTTTAGGCTGGTCCCGATCCGATATCTGGATCGGATCGGCCGCAAATATTTGCAAAAAACTGCGTATCGGCTGGCTGGAGAAAATGCAGATCCAGACTCCAGATCCAGTTTTTTTTAAAAGTCCGATCCCACACAAGCATTAGCATTAGCATCATTATCCTCTAACAGGTCTGTGTCCTAACCATTAAGTTGTAATCAGAGTAAATCCCTGTTCAACATGAGTCTGACAGCTAAGTAAGTAGATAAATAACTTTAAACTTTAATGCATACTCTGATAGGCCGGGATCGGAAGTACAAAAAGCTGGATCAGGACATTCTTACATGCGACCACATTTTTCGCGCGGCAGCCTGGATTACGCTTCTGTTGCTCTGCCCATCTGATGTTTTTAGACTGAAGCACACAGGTTTTTGTGTTTCCCGGCTCAAAACATGACTGTTAGAGGCTGTAAGCAGAGAGTTCCCTCATCTGACTCTTTTGCCTAAATATGTGAGCAAACATCTGTATTTAGATCCTTCACAACAAACAAAATATACCTTAAAATGATTTTTATCCCACACCCATCGGCTTTAACACATGCTCTGATAGGCCGGAATCGGATGTACAAAAAGCTGGATCAGGACATTCCTACATGCGACCACATTTTTCACGCGGCAGCCTGGATTACGCTTCTGTTGCTCTGCCCATCTGATGTTTTTAGACTTAAGCACACAGGTTTTTGCGTCTGACTCTTTTGCCTGAATATGTGAGCAAATATCTATATTTAGATCCTTCACAACACACAAAATATACCCTAAAATGATTTTTATTCAACACCTATCGGCTTTAATACATGCTCTGATAGGCCGAATTGGGTCAGAAGTGAAAAAAGCTTGATCAGGACATCCGTACTCCGAACATCTCCGTCCGTTTGTCCCGTGTTTCCGTATTTTCCCGGCTCACCTGAAGCTGATTCCCCCCCCCCCCCCCCCCCAGGACGGCCTGGACAGCCTGCTGCAGCTGCTGGTGGGCTACCTGCGGTCGGACGACCTGCACATGCTGACCTGCGCCACGGGCATCCTGTCCAACCTCACCTGCAACAACGCCCACAACAAGTCCCTGGTCACCCAGTCCAACGGCGTGGAGGCGCTGATCCACACCATCCTGCGCGCCGGCGTGAAGGAGGACGTGACGGAGCCGGCCGTGTGCGCCCTGAGGCACCTGACCTCCCGCCACCAGCAGGCCGAGCTGGCCCAGAACGCCGTCAGGATCCACTACGGCATCCCCGCCATCGTCCAGCTGCTGAACCAGCCCTACCACTGGCCCGTCATCAAGGTGGGGGATCCGGGGGGGTGGGGACGAGTCGGTTTGGGGGAAACGGTGGATCCCCGATAGGAAAGCGGGGTGGGGGGGGGCAGGCAGATCTGTCTGTGTCCAATTTTATTTCTATAGCTTCAAATTCCAACTACAGTTATCTCCCAGCTTTCCAAACAGAGCAGCTCAGACTCTGGAGTTTTTTACAGAATAACAACTATTCCCACCAAGAGCAGCACTAGGAGACACAGGGAAGGAAAAAATTCCTTTTAAGAGGCAGAAACCAGAGATGGGGGGGGCATCTGTCTCGACCAGTTAGGAGGGAGAGAGCGAGAGGGCAAGAGAGAGAGAGAGAGACAGACAGAGAGGGAGAGAGAAAGAGTGCGAGAGAGAGAGAGAGAGGGCAAGAGAGAGATGGAGAGAGAGAAAGAGAGAGGCAGCCTACACAGGAACACACAGACTGGTTGATGTGAAAGAAAAGAATCTGGAGGTTGTTCACATTTTTGGCTCCGGCGCGTCTTCACCCTGGTGTTTGGCTCCGCCCACAGGCTGTGGTGGGCCTGATCCGTAACCTGGCCCTGCTCCCAGAGAACCAGGCCCCCCTGAGAGACGCGGGGGTCATCCCCCGCCTCGGCAACCTGCTCATCATCTCCCACAAGCAGGCCCAGAAACTGGACCCCTCCAACACCAACCAGCAGAACTTCCAGGTGAGCCATGAGCTCCCCTCAGAGCAAGGGTATCTGTAGGGTATCTATAACACATTATTATTTATTTTAGACAGAAGAAATGGGTAGATTTTATTTATTTATTTTCATCTATTGAATGCGTTTGTAGGGAATCAGTCGGTTTTTGTTTTTCACTAGCGTTGTCACGATACTAAAATGTTCAACTCGATACCGATACTCAGGAAAATACTCGATACCATTTTCAACACCACAAGGATAAAAACAAAGACCCCAAAATTTAACTGAATTGTGTCTTTCATTTCAAACTGACCTGTTACTGACGTTATCGTGGCCGGTGGCCCACATTAATGACCCTAACCCTAACCCTGACCCTACAGCCTTCATAATTGTGAGAAATAAATATTTTTTGGTTAAACTTGTTTGGACTTATTGTACAAACCTATTTAACATCCACTAGTTTAACATAATATGTATAGAGTTTAATTAAGTGTTTGAAAGATCCATTTAACTTTTTAAATTAATGTCTATATTGCCATGAGGCAATTACGATTTTCTTGCCTGGGATCTTCCTATTGGTGATGTAATCAAAATGGCCGACTTGGATGTGGGCGGAGTTGGATATGTACTTGATTAATGTTGGCATGTTATTATTAGCCATTAGCCGCAGCTAGCAGTTCAAGGCTAACGTCTTGTTAATGATCATAAACAACGTAAATGAATACATAAATAAATCAGAGGCACAGCGATGTTTGAAAACGAGTATCCTATCCGGATACAACATTTTAGTATCGATACTTTTGACAACCCTACTCAGAGCGCGTCGGCCAGTCGGCTTCACGCCGTTTGTTTTACGGGAGTGACGCTCCTCCTTTTACTTTACAGGATGGAGTCAGGATGGAGGAGATTGTGGAGGGCTGCACAGGAGCTCTGCACATCCTGGCCAGAGATCCCATCAACAGAGCGGAGATCGGCAACCTCGAGATCATTCCTCTGCTCGTCCAGGTAACAAAAATACAAGGGGCGGGAAAAAAAAAAAAAAAAAAAGACGGGGGAGGTCTTGGTAATGGACTTTAACTCATTGACTGCCAGCCATTTTCAGAACAGAGAGTCCTATACTGCCAGAGTTTTTTGAGCATTTTGACTGATTTTTTAAGAGCCACAGAATAGTTTGTGCTATGACTATGTAAACACCGAACACACCAAAAGAAAGAGTAGACTCTCTTCTTTCATCTGGAATTTTTTTTTATTTCTACCTTATTCCGTTCTTCCTCGACTTGCGTCTCACCGGCGACATGTTCTCTCATAGCGAACCGTTACCTTTTTCTTATTTCCTTACAGTCTATGCCCATCTCCCATCAAAAGTGGCACTGCCACCTAGAGGGTCAACTTGTTACTACATACTCTGTCTAGAAGCCTGATATTTAGGGACAAGCTTTAGCAGATCGTCCCCCAGCCACTTTCGTTGAAAAACATAAAAGAAGTCTATAGACGTCTTTGGCGGTCAACGGTTGTATTTGAATTGACGTCTGTAGACGTCTTTGGCAGCCAATGAGTTAACGAGGTTTGTTGCACCTGTCCTCTGCTCTGCAGCTGCTCTACTCGTCTACGGAGAACGTGAAGCGCGTGGCGGCCGGCGCCCTGTGTGAGCTGGCCCAGGACCGGGCGGCGGCCGACCTGATGGACCAGGAGGGAGCCTCGCCCCCGCTGATGGAGATGCTGCACTACGACAACGAAGGCATCGGTAGGAGGCCCAGTTCGTGCGCCGCGTTTTCCTGGTGACTCTGGGAGACGGAGTACTTTAGCTTCCCAACCCTGGTCATCCAGACTCGCTGTCCTGCATGTTTCCACTGTTCTGTCACACCTGAGACTGCTGATAAAGACCCAAACACTGGAATAGGCCGGTCCCAATCCGATATCTGGATCGGATCGGCCGCCGATATTTGCAAAAAAATCCAGATTCAGACTCCAGATCCATTTCTTTTCTCTAAAGTCCGATCCCACATTAGCATTAGCATATCCTGACCCACAGGTCTGTGTCTTAACCATTAAGTTGTTATCAGAGTAAATCCCTGTTCAACATGAGTCTGACAACTAAGAAAGTAGAATAGATAACTTTAAACTTTAAAACATGCTCTGATAGGCCGGGATCGTTATCGGATCGGAAGTTAAAAAAGCTGGATCGGGACATCCCTACACTGGAACACTGCTCAAGATATATACGAGCTCATCTTATTTTTTATTAGCTTTTCAGGCGTTTAAAACATAGAAACAGTTTCGTCGGTAGGTTTTTTTGTTTAGTTTTTTTGTTTGCCTCTTACCAGCATAGAAACTCAGATTCTGGACAGATCTGATAATCTCTTAAGAAACAAATGTTTCTTAAGAAACATTAAGAAACTTCTCTGAGAGGGAAGCAGCCGTTCCTCCGGAATAGAAGAAAACATTGTTCAGGACTCTAGTGAGCTACTCTGGGGGCAGGAGAGCTTTAGGGGAGTTTTCCCGGAGGAGCTTCCTTTCACGACGTCTGTGGGTCGACTTTAATTATTTAGAGCTGCAGAGTGGATCTGACCGGTCGGAAAAAGACACCAGAGCTGATGCGACTCCTGAGGAAATCCTGAGCCAACACCTGGGTGAACATCCCACTGCAGCATCCCAGCCAAAAACCAAAAGCTTTTGTCTGGCCGTTATGTCAGAACCCCCATCAGACACATCGGAGCTTTTTCTCCGGGCAAAATCCCTGAGTCAGCGGTTTCTCCGGGTGGGAATGGGGGGGTCCTGGTGGGGTCGGGGGGGTTGCACTGATGAGCAGAATGCAGAAAATCGGGCTGTTCCTCGTGTGGTGATCGGGAACGTTGCGCTTTATCTAAAGCAGATTTAAAAAAAGACCCAAACTCTGAAGGAACGGGGAAACAAAAGGCTGAGCTTCCACATTTAAAGATAGATAAGTGGTGATGTGCTGCAAAGCTGCCTGGGGCCCGAATCAGTGGAGGCCTGGGTGAGCTTTACAAGGGAGGCTGTCCCAGAGAGTGTGTGTGTGTGTGTGTGTGTGTGTGTGTATGTGTGTGTGGGTCTGTGTGTGTGTGTTTGTGTGTTCAGAGCCCGGGATTTTACATTGAGATCAAGTCCCATTGATGGTCATCTTTCTTTGAACCTTTCTTTTCTAAACCTATTCAGACTCCTCCGATTATAAGGCTAAATTCAGAAACCGGGCTCTGGAGTTTTATTGTGTGGGCTGTTTGTTCTCGGTCGTAATGCGGATACCTCCGACATTCAGAGTGTTTGCTGACATTGTGTTGTTTGTTCTCCTGACCTTTAAGGCTCACTGCACACATGCACGCTCCACTCATTACAGAGACCCGAGGCGGCCCGTGCACACTCACACAGCATTGCTCCAGCCTTTTCTTTTGCACGTCATCTGATGTTTGCTGATTTATTTATTTTTTTCTCCTCTCTCTCTTTTTTCTTTTTCTCCCCCTGCAGCCACTTACGCTGCAGCTGTGCTCTTCCGCATGTCCGAGGATAAGAACCCGGAGTTCAAGAAGCGCATGTCTGTGGAGCTCACCCACACCCTGTTCAAGCACGACCCCACTGCCTGGGAGATGGTGAGTGTGTGGCGCCCCCTGCTGCCCGGAGGCAAAACACCACAAGTCCTTAACCGGGTTCTTCCCGTTTTGACTTTAGCGTGAATCGCTTCCACTTAGTTTGTTTTTTTCCTTTTGAAAAATCGCGTAACTTTACAGACTTTTAACCCTTTAAAGCCGGATCCAAGAATAAAACAAAACAGAAAATTACTTTTTTTTTGTTTGAATTCCTTATTTGGCCTTTTAACAAAATATGTAAAAAGAAAAAACAGAAATAAAGATTTAACATTAATAATTTATTACTATGTGATAAGTCAAGATTATTTTTTGTGTAGTCTTCTGCCCCCTGTTATCAGGTGTATTTGATTGTGTACAACAGGATTTTGAACAAAGTTTTTACCATTAAATTATGCAAAAGGTGTCAGACGCTAAACATTTCTGAAACCTTATGTATCAAATATGATACGTTTGGCATTATTGGGTTAAAGTTCAAAGGTTACTGCTGATGCCATTAAATACGCCGGCTCTGTCAAAGCCCTGTTTTCTGACCTTTGCCTCTCTGACCCGTCGGCAGGCCCGCAACGCCCCCCCCCATGGACGGAGGATACCCAGATGGTGAGTCTGTGGCTGAAATGTGCCCGCGCAGCACATTCCTGCTCCCCGCCAGCAAAACGCTCCGTTAGCAGGTTGATCCCCTGCAGCTGCCCGCTGACTTTATTTCAGCTGCTGCGGTCAATGGGACAATCAGGAAAATCAGCACCTGCTAATTCCAACAGATTTAAATGCTCTTTGTTGCACTAACCTCCATATCACTCATGTCTGTCATTTATCCAACTAATTAAGGAATCAAGCACGTTTGCTTTTTTTTACTTACTTTTTTTTCCACCACTCCCACCCCCCCTCTTTATGATTATTTTATTTATTATTTGTATACAATACAAGTTAACAATAACCTTAAAAAAGAAGCTTATTCATAGGTAATCGCACAGCAATGGGAGGTTATTGGAGTTTTCTTAGCATTTACCTGCAGCCCGTTAGAAAAACAGATCCATTGTTATGCTAGCAACACAAGTCGTTTTTAATTCAAATTTAGTATTTCAGAATCCAAAAGCTTCTCTTCCTTTGACCTCCATTCTGGTGTCTGTTTATCTCTGGTAGCTTTTTTTTTTCCTCTTGATCCTCATCGTCTCCCTCTCTTACCCTTTCTTTCCTTTTACGGTCTAAGAATTTTTAGTCTCTGCTTTGAGCAGATTGACTGGCGACGTTAAAAGGAAGAAAAAACTGCTTCTTTTGTTATAAAAAACCCCGCAGCGCCTGCTGTTTGTGGCGTTTGTGTGTCGGCTTTGTCGTGACGGCGGCAGGAAGCCGGCGCCTGTAAAGGAGGTGAAATGTGCTTACTGCTGGAGTGAGTGACTAATCCAAAGAACATGTAACTGTTTGCAGAAATAGATGGGATGAATGGCTTCCCGGCCTATGCAGGATACCAAGCTGATGGCATGGATGGAAATGGGATGCTTGATGACTATTCAACCTTCGACAGACAATATACTGATCAATATTAATGGTCAGTACAAATGATTTTGAATTGGTTCAACACTGGAAAACATTTTCTGCTCTACTTCCATCTGTACAGAGAGGAACATTTTTAAGATGCACTAGAGCCTCTTTTATGATGAAAGCTGCGATCCACTGAATACTTTATTGAATTAAGGAGGTGAAAAATGAATAAACTTGAATATGTCCTGACCTAGATCTGAGCTCATCTCAATGCACATGTGACTTATTTTTTTAAAGCCACACATTGGAAAACATCTCTATTTAAAGATAATCAGTATTTCTCACAAAAAATGTAATTATTTTTTTATCAGATGATTATTTTGGAACCAGATTCTTGGAGTTGGTCCCAGAAATGAGTTTTAGCTGTGAGGCTCAGGTGGACACGCTCGGCTTCTGACTCCTGGTTTATCTAAAGGCTTCTTTCCAAATCCACCGGAAAAACCAAACCGTATCTATGAGCAGGCCCTGTTAGCTTAGCCTAAAACAACATTTGAATCAAAGCCAAACACAGAGTGAAGCTGTTTTAAATTACAGGCAGCATGTCGTGAAAGTTTGTCAAGTCCTCGTTAAAATTTTATTAAAGTATTTTTCTCCCATACTGAAGATCCTAAACTAAAATCAACCAAATACACTGAAAATTATTTAAATGATTCAACAACAGCAGGAAAAAGGAGCTGAGCCTTTATTTAAAAGGAGCCAGAACCTTGAATGTTTTCAGAAAGACTGTAAAGAATTTTGATTTATCAAGTTATTCTTACTCATCATTTATTGACAAACATTTTCCTTGCGGAAGACTTTTTTTTTTGTAAACCTGAAATGTTTTATATTGGAGTTTGATCATTTTTATTTTTTTTTAAGTTGCATTCAAACTTAACAACAAACACTAATAAACAGCATTGAATGACCAGTTTTAACCCTTAAACCCACATTTTAATCCAAACTGACCATCTGCATGTTTAAAATCTTGCCTGTACGCAGCTTTTAGTCTCGTTTTACTATTTTAAAGGTCATCCTGGGATTGTTTGATGATCCTTATGTTGTGTAACTCGAATTTTATATAGATATGATTCATTTAAATTGGGATCCAGTAAATGGATCTCAAATTATGAATTGACAGATAAGTAAGCCATTGTAGGATCACGTGTCCATGCTGCTGGACACTGTGGAGGCATACATTTCCCACAATGCACTGCTCCAGAGGCTGTAAATTCAGCTAGTTCCTCAATATAAGTGCAGTTTAAAAGCTTATGAGGCGTGCACGTTCTAACTTAGTGAACACACAGTCCTCAGAAAGCTGTCCTCTAATTGGTAATTAATGTGTAATGTGACGTATGAGAAAAGAACCAATTAATGGAACAAAGATCAGAATTGTATTTGACTAAATCATTATTTCTCCTTTTCTTTTTCCTCCCCTCAGAGTACAGAGCGGAGGAGGCGCTGATGTGGAGTTCAGTGGGACAAAGAGGAGGCGTGTATAGTCACCAGTAGAGATCCCCTCTGCCCAAAACCCCATGTAACATATGCAATCATCGACGAGTTTGTGACTCATAATCTTAACAGGGCTCAACGTTTGTTTTCTAGAATAATTGTGCTGATTCTGAGGGTGACAAAGCTTGTAGGTTTCTGTTGGAGACCCTTCGAAGAGCGCGTATGGTCGTATGTGTGTGTTTCCGCTTCTGGGTGGGTGTTCTATGCCAAAGAGATTTTATTTTACGACGATAATCATGTAGCTTCCTTTTTTTTTTTTTTTTATTAAGAAAGAGAAACGAAAAGAGAATAATAGTTGAAAACACTGCCAGAGGTGGCTCAACCTGCACGGTGCACCTGTTCACCGCTCCGCTTTTTCTGCCTTTTAACAGACTCACTGTCTCTGATTCCACACCGTTTCATGTCACCTCTCTCCTGCTGGTTTAAAAACTTCTCTCAGCCGGAGGCGACAGAGAGCAGGACGGCCGTTTGTGTTTTATGATTTCTCCTCTTCTTTTCTAAGTTATTTTCGTGGAAAAAGTCCATCGTACCTTCCAGCATATTAACGGAGACGTCCTCGGTTTTTAAAGTGAATTTTAAAGGAAGTTCATGTGTGGCTGTGGGGAGTCGGGAGTCCACATGTTTAGATGATGGCTCTGCAGCTGGAGAGAGAACTACTGACAGGGAAATTTGTCTTTCTACTTCATAAAAGTTTTTACTGAAATTTTGTTTAATAAAAATAAAGGATATATTAAACTCAACAGGATGTCTGTGTCTGTGTTCACACTGGTTAGCGTTAGCCGCCCTGGATTGTGAAGTCGTTTGGATTTAGGAATCCGTTTGCATACAGAGGCAGAACAAACCATCATCCCTCCCCCGCCGTGCTCACAGCTGGTTTGAGTTGTTTGTGCCAGTATGTTTGGTTTTCTATGCCCGTAGCACATTCTTCAAGACGAGCCACGACACGCTAACGGGCCTGATGAGTCCGGGATCGGGCTTAGATTTTAACCCTATAATGCCAAATGTATCATATCTGATACATACGGTTTCTGAAATGTTTTGCGTCTGACACCTTTTAGATAATTTAATGGTAAAAACTTTGCTCAAAATCCTTTTGTACACATTCAGATACACCTGATAACAGGGGGCAGAAGACTACACAAAAAATAATCTTGACCTATCACATAGTAATATATTATTAATATGAAAAATGTATTTCAGTTTTTATCTTTTTAAATATTTTGTTAAAAGGCCAAATAAGGAATTCAAACAAAAAAAAGTAATTTTCTGTTTAGTTTTACTCTTGGATCAGGCGTTAAAGGGTTAAGCTTTGGCTCAATACCTCTCCTTTGGACTGAACCTGCTGGGACGTCCACTCCGGAGAAGACAGAGTTTCCCTAAATGTTTTCCTCATGTAAATTATCCTTTGGGTTGAACGATGGACTCTAAATATTTTTTATTGACAACCCCTCTCAGATTAACTGAACCACAGCTTTATTTCCTCTGAGGTCACGGCTGATGTCTTTGGGCCTGGAGGTGTGTGAACACACACTTAAGACCAGAAAACTGACACAATAAAACATGAAATAGATCAAGGGTTTCTTTTACCTCTACATATTAATGTATTAGGAGACAGAAACTGAAGGGAAAAGCTCGGCCTGCTCTGATTGGTCAGTTCCAGTTGCCTGACCAGGTACCGCCTGCCACAGAAAAACAACGAAAACGAAGCTGAAAAGTGTTCCAGAGGATGTGAACTACGCTGATGCCCTCAACATATAAGTTCAATACTGCATCAGAACACAGGTCAAACTAAAAACTCCCCGTGTCCACTAATGACCCGAAACATTGGTGATCCACGCCGCCACACCGGTCCCGTGGAGACGGAGATTTAGTTTCATTTCACGGGGACGTGAACTGCGTAAGTGGTCGTGAAATTGTCGGAACACAAGCGAAAATTGACTCGAAATTGAAAGCTCACTGAAGCTTAGTCCAGAAGCATTAAAGGGGAAATGGACACCAGGAAGCAGCATCTCTGTGACCCCAGATCTCAATCTCAGGAGGGTCTGCAGGTATATCACACATCATAAAGCCCGTCGCCGTAGTAACAACACGGGAGGAAAGTTTTCCAGACTCCGACCTGGACCGTCCACATATTTTATTCTTATAACACTCAAGATCAACTCTTCAAGATCAACCCAAACATTTAAACGGGTCAATAATGAAATTCCTGTTTTCTATAGAGGTTTTGTTGAATTTCCTCTTCATTTTTCTCTGCTTCCATTTAGAAAATATATACAGTTTTCCTCAAGCAGCCTGGTGATAAATGTGAGGGAACGTGACAGAGAGAGAAGGTGCTGTGAGGATGTTGGTTCATTTTAAACTCAGAGTTTATTACAGTGGCTCCGTTGTGCAAAGACAAAGTGTTAACGCTCGTCCATCCAGTTACTTTTAGTTTTCTATCGGCGTTTTTTTCTCCCTCGGTGGCCTACAGCAGAACAGACGTTTTTGGCTCGCTCCAACTCTCTCAGAGTGAAAACGGCTTTCCTCTCCTTCCCTCTGCTCAGTCTTTTGCTACGTCAGAAGAAAAGGTGGCTTTAGGGTTGGTGATCTCGGGTCTTTGTGGGGACCCCGGCTCCGCTCAGATCGCGTTATCAAACATCTGCATGGACTGCATGATGTTCTCGTCCTGGGCGAAGACACGAAGAGGTCAGAGGTCAGGGGTCAGGTTGCTTTTGATGGGGAATCAAACGGGGAGACGATTTCAATTCAAATTACCTTCTGACACGTCTCCAAGAACTCTTCGATGGTCACCACGCCGTCATTGTTCTTGTCCATTTTCTGGAAAAAGTCAACACAGTTCAAGATTTTTAGCCTTTTAACGAGCTGTGTGCAGACCAGGAGGGTTACGCTGGGATCTAGCTGCAAATTAAATGAGAGTGGAGCAGACCGAGGGAGTCAGGGGCCCCTTTAAACATTTTAAACCTGCTCCGTTATGATAACACCATACCGGAAACTGGACCAGAGGGAGATCTACAGAGGATTGAGATTAGCTACTCACAGTCAGTTTCATTAACTTACACGTGTACTTCCTTGTTTTCAGTTGGAAGTGTCCTTCTTTTTGCCTTTTTATTGAGACATTAAATAATTGTTACTTATGAGGACAGAGTTAGAGGACGGCAATACATGTCCTCATGATTTGCTTCTGAAACTTGTTTTTCTTTTTCTTTGGGTGTAAAGTCGTCCTCGACTGACCCGGTTTTCCTGACATTTTACTCCTAATGACTCATATGTCAGCAGACCGTCTCCAATGATTTGAGAAAAACTGGACAAGTGGAGCACATGAGAAGAAGTGTCAGCCATTTAGGAAGGAAAACGGGAGGAAAAAAGGATTAGGCTATGGAAGCTAGAGCAAATGACACAAGAAGAGGACTGAAAGTCAACACCGGTCTGATGGAGGCATGAACCCCCCCCCAGAGCTCCACCCGACTGAAAATGTGTGGGATCATCTGACAGAGCAAAAGGCAGCCCACGACTAAAGAAGAGCTTTGGGATGTGATTCAACCGGCCTGGGGGGCTGCTCCTTAACCTTATAATCCCAAATGTATCATATCTGATACAGTTTCTGAAGTCTTTTGGATCTGAGACTTTTTGCATCATTCAGTGGTAAAAGCTTTGCTCAAACCCCTGTTGTACACATTCAGAAATACCTGATAACAGCCAGTAGAAGACTACACCAAAATATATTTTTTACTTATTGCACGCTAATTTGATAAAAATGATTTCTGTTATTTTTTTTCATATGTTGTTGAGGGGCCAAAGAAAGACTTCAGACTAAAAAAATCCAATATTCTTCCTATTTTTCTTGGATCGGGCTTTAAAGGGTTAAGGAAATACACTTGTTGGAGTACAAATGTGCTCGTATAATTAGTTCAGAACAATTGATTAAATTGCTGAACTTTTTTCCAGCTTTTCCCTAAAAAAAGTAATGATAGGTGGTCTGAGTCTGTGGATTGAACGAACAAAAAAATAATAATCTGCTTGATCCTCTTTGATAATGTGGACAAAACCGATTTTGACTCATTTCTTGGGTCATTTTTCTTGGTTTTTGGCAAAATTTGTCAGCCATAAAATAGTAGATTTGTAATGATTTTTACCTGAAAGAAGCTCTCCACGTGCTCCTTTGGAGCGCTGTCGCTCATGTTGGGGAAGGTGCATTTCCCCATCATGTCATAGATGGAGTTCATTATTTCCGTCATCTCCTGAGCAAACAGAAGGGAGGAAACGGAAACCATCTGAGCTGGAAACACAGCAGGGGTCGGTTCACACAGACCCGGAGGAGGTCCGGTACCTCTCTGGTGATGCAGCCGTCCTTATTGAGATCGTAGAGATTAAAGGCCCAGTTGAGCTTGTCCGTGATGGAGCCTCTCAGGATGATGGACAGGCTCACGACAAAGTCCTGCAGCAGGAAAAAGCCAACGAACACTTCACTGGTGAGCTGTTCATAACCCAAAGCCTCGGTTATGAGGTCCACATGCACAGAAAACAGGGCGAACTACGAGCTATGAGAAATGCACGTCAGATGTGGAGAAATCTGCCTGAAAAATCCTCGTTATGGAGCGAGAGGAGAGTCTGTGTCTCACCTCAAAGCTGACCAGTCCGTGGCTGTGGGTGTCGAAGGCCTCAAACAGGAAATGTGCGTACGTACTTGAATCTGGAAAGAAAACAAAAAAGAGAGATCAGAATCCAGCATGTTCATCAATATAGAGGTGAATCTTATTTCTAAAATCACATTTAAATAACCAAAATGCTGCAAGATGTCATCTCAAGAAATCCAGAGCAAATAAAATCATTTTAACATTTTTTATATTAATTTTAATTCATTTTAATTAAGAATTAAGAATTTTAACATTTTTTAAATTCATTTAAATAATTTAAATTCATTTTAATTACATTTTAATTACATTTTAATGAAGTAAAACAGACCAAAAGGGGCAAAAAAAAACTTTCGACGTTTTCCTTTTTTAAAAATGTTGTCAAAGCTTTCTAATTTTTAGATGAATATGTCGTAAAAACTCCAAATACATCTGAAACAAAGAGCCAGAGCAGGTGAGTCCTGACCTCCCTGGGGGAAGAACTGGGAGTAGATGCCTTTGAACGTCTCCTCGTCCACAGCGCCGCTCGGACACTCCTGCAGAGAACAGACGGTCAGAAACTCAGCTTTAGTTTGGCTTATTCAGGTTTCCAGGGCGCCACAACAGGGGGACGGTCCCAGACATCTGTGACTGACGTTTTTGAATCCCCGGTAGAGGATCTGGAGCTCCCTCTTGCTGAATTTGGTCTGCTGGGCGAGGCGGTCCAGCCCCTCGGGCCGGTACCACACCGTGGACAACTCCGCCTCCTCGTCCAGGCTCCCTAACAGCCGGGTTAGAGTTTGGCTGTAATTAGCATTTTATGCTATCACGGACTGTTTTATTCCTTTTATAACTATATTTTGTGTTGAAGTCTCTGCGTCTTTCCTCAGTATCTAAAACAGCTTTTTTCTAGTATTTTTCGGTCTAAAAATCAATCCGAAAACACAAGAAATGCAGTGAAAGTCTAACAGATGCAACTCAGAGTGAGAAAAAAAACAAACCAATGGCCCTCTCCAAGCCTCATGCAGAGGTTGATGTGCTTTACAGTGTCATTTCCTAAATGGACTTGTTAGAATTTGGCTATAATTGCTCGCTTTAGCATTGTATGCTATCACATAATCTATGTTCATTACTGATTGTCTTAATAATTTTAGAACTATACTTTTGTGTTAAAGTCTCTGGCTGTGTCCACAGACTCTCTTTTCTCTATTTTCCTCTCTCTGTTGCATTAGATCCACCTTTAGTTCAACACACACACACACACACACCATTTGTTACCACATTCCTGTCATCTGCATGAATTAGGACCTGGCCTGTTCATGCCCAGAGGAAACTGGCCAATAGGACTTGGTTGTGTCCAGTCCTCCTTTGAGGAGGCGGATGGAGCCCAGGAGATAATGCCCATCACCCAGATCTCAGGGCTCTTGCCCACTGAGACCCAGAGAGAGGTTTTTGTCTGTTAGAGCCCAGCTGATACACTTAACTGTGACCCAATAAATGTTATTTTTTGTAATTGTGGTGCTGACACTCGCCTTGGTTCACGGAGGAGCTGGAGTCGGAGGGAAAGCAGGGCAGCAGCTTGAGGAAGCGTTGCTTTATGGTTTTCTTTGTGGGTTTGGAAGGAGGATTACCTGTAAACAAACATGAAAGCAGAGGCATTAATAGAGTAGAAGATATAGCCCAGACTGAACGTAGTGTAAACAAAACATAAGCCAGACTTCACCCCCAGAGTTTGAACACTTGTCTTTGCCACATTCTGCTCCTTCTTTCTGTTTTAGGCATCAGGCAGGCGAACAAACACAGGAAACACACACATGGTTTAATTTAGAATAGAAAACACCAAGAGATCCTGTTTTACTGCTATTTAACCAGAATTTAACCAGAATGCCCACTGAGAGACGAGCTGAGGCGTTGTTACAGCCCACTTAGTCTGAGCTTTTACTCACTTATGAAAACGCTAAAAAGGACCTGAGTCAGTTAGGAGGAACTACTTGAAGCCTTTTGGTTTCTGGACGGTAACAGTAGGTGCTCCTGACCCGTTTTGAGGCCCATCTGTGGGCGTCAGACCCTGTGAGCCTGCTCTGGTTTCAGGCCCTGCCCCACCTCTGTGTGAGGGACCCGGAGGGCCAAAGTCAGCCGGTGTTTGGAGGAAAGAGCGGCTCCACCTCCATCATTTCAGAGTTCTTCTCTCATGATGGTCCGGTGGTCTTTCTGCTTTGTCCATCAGCCAGTTTGATCCCGGTTCGGTTTTCATCTCCACCTCCTCCTGATGAGCTTATTCAATTCCATTCAATTCAATTTCATTTATATAGTGCCACATCACAACAACAGTTGTCTCACAGCGCTTTCCAAACAGAGCAGGTCAGACCCTACTCCGAAGTTATTTACAGAAACCCAACAATTCCCACCATGAGCAAGCACTAGGCGACACAGGCAAGGAAAAACTTCCTTTATCAGGCTTATCAGGCCTTTTACGACCCCTGATCCCGTCCAGTTTGCAGCTCTTCTCACTTCTCCACCGACAGGAAACACCAGAGTCCGGTTGGTGGAAAACTCACTTGTCGTATTTTAATCTCTCGTTTTGGTCCCTCCTAACTGGTCGCTCTAATGTGAACTTCCCTGTTTCTGGTGGTCTGTTGATGTCCACAAATACGTCACACCTGAATCCGTCAAAGCACGAATCAAAGCCGAGTTCCCTAAAGACATTTACAGACACTCTGATAGATTCAATAAGTCGACCACAGATAGTAACTGAAGAGCAAAAGCAGATGTTGGAGGTAGCTGTGGAGCTTTTCTGCCACTGGAGGGGAGCATTGACAAGAGGAGGAGGAGGCAGAAAGAGAGAGCAGCACAAAGCATCACCAGAGATAAACACACACACACACACACATACACACACACACACACACACGCACAAACACACACACGTTATTCCTCCGAGCCGACACAAAAAGACAGTACCACTAAAAAACGTTTTAAAATATTCAAAGCTTCCACCGTGATCCAGCAATCAAGATGTGAACATCTGGAATCAGGAAAGTCTCAAAGCTGAAAGTAAATTACACAAAATGTCAGCAGCACTTTGCTGGAGGTGTAAAGATTTGAATAATATTTCTATTTTGTCTGTCCAGGCCTGACATCACCAGAACATTAATATTACTGAATCCCTTCCTAATGGCTGTGCATCTTTTCTAGGTTTCGGTTCATCTTAACTCCATTCCTCAGCCTCTGAAACCTTCTTTGGGTTGTTTTCTGGGTCCTCCTGCTCCCTCCCAGGCAGCAGAACAACCACCTGCCGTTACGGTGACTAAAAATATGTAAAAGCATGGATGCAAGTGGCCGTTTTTGCTTTTCCCGGCTGCTGATATTTTTAGATGACAGAGAGCCGGTCGTCTGTTCTTTCTGCCTCTTTTCCACATTTACACAGAAAGTCTGGAGACCAAGACAGGAGAAACTGCCTCAGATTTCTGGACAATCACAGGAAATGACTCAAATTATTAATTTGACTCTCTACGTTACAAAGATAAACATCTGGCTACACTTTGTGTCTCATTAATCCTGAATGCAAAACGTTATATTTCTTAATCGTCTTTTTTCTTGTTAGTTTTCCAGCTTTCATGTACCCGCTCATGCTATGAATTATTGAGACACAGCTCTCTCTCTATATATATTGAGTATATTCACATTTCCTAGCAGGATAAATGATCAAACATGCTTCATTTAGACTTTGGAAAATCAACCTGCAGTGCAAATGTTTGGATTTCATTTGTGTTTTATGAGAAACTGAAGTGGAAACACAATAAAATCAGCTCTCCGCTCTCCTCCAGAGCAGAAAAGCATTTGAAAGCACCTTTTAGAAACATGCTGTGACTCTCAATACCGATTACTCAGATTTAAACGCCAGTTTGTTGACTGTGATCCGACTATCAGCCACAGGGAGAACTGATAACGGACGTGGCATCGATTTGCCTTCAGATGCAGACTCAGAAAATGTGATGTTGGAAAGGTGGAAGCTCTTTGTTAAGAATATTTTGTTAGGCTGATAAAGCCCTGAAAACTCTCTGAGTGGCTGAAAGGGCCTGATAGTGTCATCAAAGCCCCGATAGCCTTGATAAATAAAGTGATTAAGTAATTGAAGGATCTTTTTCTTTTAATTTCTGTGAAAGAATTTTGTGGTCATTCAGACATGCTTTCAGCCCCTTTATTCAGGCTCATGATAAATTAAAACCTTTATATTCTTCTGGTTTGATTACCTGAGAGAAACTTTCTTTGTGGAGTCTCATGCTTAAAGGGGTTTTGTCTCAGCGAATCTGGGAGGACCGGCGGAAAACTGTGGGTCAGCGAGCAGAAGAAGAACCAAACTGACCCAAGAAAAAATAACCAGATTCTTTCAGCAGTTTTCCAACATTTCGTTTCACTTTTTCCGTTTTTATTCACGACACATAAGAAATGTTCAGTTTAGATGTTGGTTCAGATGTTGTTTGCATGCTGGAAGAGTTCCAGAGTAAAAGTGGCTGAAATAAGAAGCAAAATCCAACTTTTTTAAAAATAATCTGAGCTATTTTACCAGAGTCTTTGGCTATTCAGCCTTTCTGAACACTCTCTTGGTGGCAGATTGCATTAATCCATTTGCAGGAATGCAGCCCTCTCAGCCGGATCGATTCCCTCCTCCGGCCGCTTGTTAACAACACGTTTAAGGGCCTTTTATTCACGGCTGCCATCAACCGGAACTACTCAAACTACTTAAACTGCAGAGAGGAAATGTGGGCGACACTAAAAGGAAGAGGAGAAACGCATAAAGGTTGGGAGGGTCAGGACTAATGTCCCTTCTTAGTGTTAGATGTCAGAAAGCTGCACTGAGGTTTCCTAATGTCCTCTGGCCGCTTTATGGAACAGTTCAGCTTTGATTGATTATTGTTTTATTCTTCATTTTCATACACAAAAATCTGAAAAACGTGATGAGAAAAGAAAATATTCCCCCCCAGTCTGATTAAACCAAAGAAAAAGATGTGAACCAGGTTACAAAACAACACTTATTTACTGTTTATTGGTTAAATCTACTCATATTTGTCGGTATTCATTTTAACAAATATTTTTTAAAAACACAAAGAAACCAGATAGATAGATAGATAGATAGATAGATAGATAGATAGATAGATAGA